TGAGAAGTAATTGTGGTAGTCGTATTCGCTCAGGTCAAGAATGCCCAAGACTTGGATTTTGGAATCATGAAATGGACATATATTGTATTTATACAGTCCAGTCAAGATTGTTTAGTGTATTTTGAATGGATTTATGTTTTTACGTCTTTTATAGATAGGTATCCGATAGCTGATATTTTGGGATAAAAATCCATGCTTATGAATCTATGACAGTAACTATATTCTTTTCAAAATAAAATTATAATTGTGTTATTGTGCCTGTCATTTAGCTAACTGCCCCTTTTTTTTGTATTTTTCAGTATGCATAATACTTAACTGGAATTGTATTTTATAAACATTTGAACTGGCATATTATATTTTAATTATTGTAAATATATGATCTAGGGAATAGGGGCCTTAAATGGTAGCCATGTGGTTTCTGTTAGGTCCCTAGCCAGCTAGCCCCAATTCTTGTAAATACTAAATTTTCTTTGATTTACTTTTTGGAAAAATAAATAAATAGTGTGGCAAGTAAAAATATTACTTATTATTATTTATGCAGGTTATACAGTATGCAAGTGTAAAACCATATTTCTTAGTTCAAACAAGTTTGATGGATACATATTTGTTCAAATGCAGTATTGTATAATATTTTAGAACATAAGGAGTTGTTCATTGATATATAAGCTCTTTTTTAACTGACCTGCCCCCATTGTCATCACTTGTCATTATCTGCTCCATTCCCATAATTATGAAAAAATGAACTGTTATGTACTCCCCCCCTTCCCCTTGCTTGTTAGAGAAGAAAACTGACGAGGGCACCAGAGATGGATTTTCGTTTGTGGAGGGGGGTGGATAAATATCTGGGGAGGGTGCTGCTGCTTGCTTTGGCCGGGGCGCCCGGAAAGGCCAAGGAAAAAGTTTAACAAAATTTGTTTTCTAGGCCTGCATGGCGAGATCTGAGACCATAATATTGGTAATTTTACAAATTTAGTAGTAAGAATAATCAAATATGAAACTATCAAATCAAAATATATAATTTGCGGGAGTGCAAAAACTTTTGGGGGCGGTGCCAAATGCCTCTGGGGGTGCAAATCATTTCGGGGGTGGGGGGGGAGGGTGCACCCCCCAGAAAATCTGTGCCTGGAGGGCACTGGATGAGGGTCTATCATCTATGGTCTGTTATAATTTGCTTTTTATGCAAATAGTGAGCAAAAAAGCAAAACTGTTCAAGTTACATATATAGTACTATAATATTGTTTAACACCAGGGCCATAATACTAGAAATTTGTTTATTAAAGTTGCATTAAATTGTTTCTACAATGAATGAACTTGATATGTTTCATAATTATCCCCCCCCCCCCTTTATGTAATGAGCATCCCCTTCCTGACTATGGCAATGGCATACCAGTAGCAGTCCTTAATTAACATTGTTTCACAATAATCTTATCATATTTTCACTAAAATGCTATGAAATATTTAACTATTTTTGAATGAGTTAAAGGTGATCTACAGTCCGTATGTAAACAAAGCCTTTGTTTACATTTTTGTGTCCAAAATATTGAGCTTTCTTCGACAACTATTTATATTTTCAAGCTTCTAGAGTATAATAAATGATCAAGAAACAACAATTAGGCTTTTCAAGAACTCAAAACATAGTTAAACTGTTTGTATCATAAAAAGTGGGCTCATTTGTGCACATGCGCAGATCGGACTGTAGATCACCTTTCATGTTCAAGTATTAAAAGACAGAGCTGCCCAGAGCTTTTTGGGGGTCCAGTTGCAAATTGCCCTAACTGCTCTCTGCCTCCCTCTGGGCAGCCCTGTTAGAAAATAAAGCATTGATATTCTATTAATACTGACATTTCTTGCGTACTGTGCATTTATTTTTAAAATTATTTTCAGTTTCATGTTGAGTTTGCCATACATGTGAATATATTGTCAAGATGATAACAAATTTGCCTGAAGTGTGCTGAATGTGCTGCAGCCTTGGTTGTGGAGAATAACAGCCAACTTTCCTTGCCTGATCACACATATGGTCAATCATGCTCTTCCATGCCACCCAAGCAGTCTGACTGATTTCTTTCAAGAGCTATGGTAGTCTGAACTCATCCTTTTTGGAAACGACTAGCAAACTATAAAAATATTAAACGACGTGTTTTGACGTTAAGAACCAATCTTACGTTCACAACGGCGGAAGTATATGATCCTAAACTAGATTTCACGTTTAAACAGTATAAAACACCATTCACGAGGCTAGATGTTGACATACTGTAGCACAGTATTTCTGGCAATGAAACGCTCGAACTGACCAAGTGACCATTTCACACGAACTTTTATCGATGGATAATTTTGCGAGTTTTCATCCAATTCAATCATATATATGCTCAAAATATTCGCTGCAAGTTTCTCTTTACCATAAAACTTGACCGAAATAGTTTCGAAAAAATGCGACGGCAAAAACTGCAAAAAAACCTGATTTCCGTAATAGAATCTATAGTCTTTCTGCCCTCTTGTACCGCCATCTTGGATTTATAATGTAGGCCCCGTCTGCGCTAGGTATGCGTCAGCAATCTAGAACTCCTATATATCGATGGGTTTCAGCCATGTTTTAAGAGCAATTTTTGCGGAAAAAATTTTGTGACCATAAATTTAACTGGTTTATGTCAGGAAAAATTTTTCGACCCTTTTTTCGAATGTCTGGAAAATTTTTTTCACATTTTTGGGAAAAATAGTGGCCCCAAAAAAATTCTTGCAGGGCATCATCGGCTTCCAGGCACCCCCTTAATTAACAGGGGCTAGTTTCGCCCCTGCTTCAGACCGGCATGAATTCAGACCGGAATGAATTCAGACTGAAATGAAAGTAAATACAAATGCATTCCAGACCAGTCTCGGCTGTAACATTGACATTGGAACATGCTAGCAAAAGCTATCTGAAAAAGAAAATTACCTGGCAAAGGAAAAAAATTGGAAATTTTGTGATTTTAATCGTACCGGTCTCATGAAAAATGTTGGTAATTCCAATATTCATTCCTGTTTGACTTCGTCCTGGTCTCATTTAAACGGGGCCTAAGCGAGATGAGACTGCATTAACCTATAAACAATTCATATAATTTGTTACCTTAACTTAAGCCCCGTTTACATGGCACGTTGCCTACACGACTGTAGCCGCAATATTTTGCAATGGCACGCACGGCGCGGCAAAATTTGATTCACGGCAAAAGCTGAATTTAAGCACGGCATGTTTATTCTAAATATTGTGGGACATTTAAGCTATTTATCGAATTCGAACGCCAGCTATGAAATACTTTTGAAAACTACGCATTTAGTAGTCTATGCTTTGTCCCGATTTACACCTCATTTATGCAGGGCACTAGGCACATTTTGCTCGGATAACGGTAGGCTATATCTTGCATGACGAAATTAAAAAAAAAAAACGTTTTGCAAAATCATGCAGTCTACGATGTCAACTTCTCAAGAATCGTTAGTTTCACAAGTATCTAGTTATTTGTTTTTCATGTCAAAAACTCGAAAGTTTTGAACGTTTAACGATTTGCACAAGATCGAAACTGGATCACGCAGTTCCTAGTCCTCAAAAGTACGATCGTACTTGTAGTTATTATAAAAGACAAAGCTAAGAATACCTCGACTCGTGCGCATGCGTTAATGGTGTGATAATACGCTCGGGTAATGTTACGAGAATTCTTCCATGCTCCTCGTTCTCGTATTCTACCAACATTTCTCTCTTGAATTCTCACACTGGCTATAAATGCACGCGACTTGTTTTCAATATCTTACAGGTAAACTACGTGAAGCGTTCTCTTTTGTGTTCCTAACTCATTTGGAATTTTCAAAATTAGATTTGCAAATTTGAAAAACTTTTCGCAAATCCCTTGAGGGAATTTGCAATTTTCCTGTCGGCCGTTGCAATATTCCATCGCAAAGAAAGTTCCTTTCAAATATTCCTAACTCCCTGTTTTAATTTCCTAACTTCCTGTTCTGTTCTGAGCGTTATCATTGGTGGATTATTTTTGTTAGCCAATTGCTACGCACAGAACAGAACAGGAAGTTAGGAACTTGTAACAGGAAGTTAAGAACTTCTAACAGGAACTGAGGAAAATTTATTTTGCTCTTGAATTAAGAACATTGCAAATTCCCTTCCCTGAAGGGATTTGCAAGGAGTTTTCCAAATTTGCTAAGGTAATGACGAAAATTGCAATCAACTTAGGAACTCAAAAGAGGAACGCTTCACGTAGTTTACCTGTAAATGACAATATGCATGTATATGTTCATTTAGGTTGCGTACTGGGATTACTTGCATATAGCGTAAAAATTTCCAAAAAAATAGACTGGCTTTGATACACAAGACAGATTACATCAAAAAGAAATTCACAGTTGTGGAATGGCCACCAGAATGGAAATTTCGCATAATTTGAAAAGTTTATATAGAGAAAGTTGTTATTTGTTCGGTCAAGGAAAGCAGCAAATTTTGGCAATTTACTCGTGGATTTGATTAGTTCATTTAAATGGTCAGCGATCGTTTCGGATAATAAAACCGGAACCTTTTACGCACCTAATAACTTCTTTAACCTCTAGCCGTAACCCCTAAACCTAACCGTAATCCTAACTGATCTGTCTACCTACTAGCAAGTCGACAGCATCTATATGTAGCGCGCAAACGGTGAGTGCCTTAACCACTTGGTTATCGAGGACTTGCTTCAAAATCAATGATACTTACATAATGTCATTTTGCAAGATGTATAATCTCACGAAACTTAGGCTACGTGATGTCATTTTGCATGATGTCATTTTTACAAGCTGAGAGAAGGAAGAAATGAACCATACTAATTAAAGGGATATGGCAATATAAATTAAGTTTGTCTTATCTGAAAGAACACTTAATATTATATAGGCCTATAAACTTCAGTATCTTGCTTGGCTTTCGAAATAAATCGACTAAGTTTGAATAAGAGCAGCGTGCGCCAATTACAAAAATTCCACATGATTTCACATATGTGAAATTTTACATGTGAATTTGGAACATGTAGTTTCACATGTGAACACATATGAAATTATGTGTTTCACATGTTCCAAGTTCACATGTGAAACTCCACGTGTGAAACACATAATCACCTGTGAAATATCACATGTTGCAAATTCGCATGTTCCAAATTCACATGGTCCAAATTCACATGTGAAACTTCACATATGAAACACATAATTTCACATGTGTTAACCTCATAATTTCACATGTGTAAAACTTCACATATGAGATATCACATGTTCCAAATACACATGTGCAATATCACATGTTCCAGTTTCACATGTGAAATTATGCAAAGCTCAATCATGTACATTTAATTTAAACCTGTCAAACAGTGAAACACTGCATATATAGGAAGTTTAAATAATTTATTTATACAGTTAATTTCTACAAATGTTTAGCTACAATACAAAATACTTTATTAAAAGGAAAAAACTTAGCGGCTCAAATGTCTTCTGCAATTTTTCTTATTAGTCACATGGGCTATAAGAAAGGAAATACAAGACTCTCATTAGCTCTACATATTTCATGTACTGGAACTCCACAGTCAGTTAACATTACAGAATATACTTCTACATAATTGATTACCCTTGGAGTTGGTTCATATGGCTTTTACCCTGACTCGTCCCCAGTAATGTATTCTCTGTGCGGGCGACACGTGGCAAATTGGAAATTGCTGCAAGGCTATCTTCTCAACAAGTAAAACTGTAAGATTTGCTAGCATTAGACAGAAAAATATAAAGTTGAGCATATTGCCAGTGAATGGGTTAACAAGAGAAATATTCTGATAGGATTTGTTAACAGACATCTCAACAGCACCCCCAATATTTTGCGAGGTATCTGCTACTGGTTGTTGGTATTTAATATGCTAATGGCTCATTCCAGAAAACATTCATAGATTCATAAGATTATGATTTCACCTTAGTTATATTGGAAAGGAGTGCTACTTCTTTCAGTAACCGACTGAGTGATATCACTGACAAGTAAAATCATCTGACATTGGGTCATTCCAGAGAACATCGATACCTCCCCCATGAAGGAAATTGGAAGTTAACCCCCTATCCTCTTCGAAATTCGAATGTCCTAATACACTTACTATTATCAGAAACAATTTTTTCTCCCCTACCCTCCGGACAGTAGAAATTTCCTCTGTACCGGGGGAGAGTGGATCTTTTCTGGACGGACCCATCAGACAGAGTAAAACAATAAATTTGTGGCACAATGCAGCTTATTCTATGTCCAGCCTAATGTAATATCCAGTTAACACCCGATCTTAACGACCTGCCAAACTTCTTGAGAAGTATTACGTGGGTTAATATGGCCATGTGTCTAGTGAACTCATTAAGTTGTATTGTACCCTTGTGTGTCTTACTTCCTAATTTTACTGTCCTTTAAATGCCAGATTATTGTACTCTGTCTAATGCCAGACCATTTTACTCATCAAGGCTAAGTGGATTATCAAGTATGCTGGTGCATACTCTTGTAATTAATGGTTATTTATAGGTTAATTCAATCTAGCTTTGGATGCACATCTAAAAAGAATACTAGTTTTATGCCGTTGTAAGCTTAGACTGTTTTATAAAGTCTGCAGTAATTATCCAGTCATTTGATCAATTTAATGTTAAATTGCTTTTTAAAATAATTATTACAAAGTGGCTATATCTTCAGGCCCGTAAAAAAACTTCGCCAGGCTACTGTATATTTATGGCACTCTCATTCTCCACACAGGTTGTATTTATTGCTAAAGTCAAATTAAAACAAAACTAACCCTAACCTCTACCCCTGAAAAATAAAACTAGTCAGAAGTTTAACATGTTTAGTTAATTTAAATTGAACAAAAACCCGTCCCAACTGTGGTTCGAACCACAGACTACACCACAGCAGCCATCTGCTTAACCTTCTGTTCCATTTTTGAACTCGCTGAAATCCTTCATAAACAATAAATTTTATAGTGCTGGTTTAGTACAGAAGAGTGCTGTAAATATAGCCTGACAAAGTCTGTTTAAGGACCGGTAGATATACTAGCCACTTTTAATTATTATGATCCCACTGGCATGATCCTGCTTGCAATATGAACTCTATCAACTGTTTAGTACAATAAAGTGAATTATTCTACTTCTCTGCCCTAGACAGGATCCCACCTGCCAGGACAAGAAACTCTAATATCATCCGTGCCAGGCTAGGGGGGGTGTATTCCGTCTATATTAAACACACCATCCTGGATTAAAACCTACCGCCTAATGATGCCATTATCATATAAACAGGCACATATATACAGGGTAAACTTTAGAAGGGTTTAGCTTGGAAATCCCTCAAGCTCAAGCTAGCAAAAGTTAATACTTTTTTACCATATTGTGGGAAACACTAACCCTTTAGTCGTAATGCATGTCACCCTGATGCATTCAATGGTTGTGTTTACACTACCAGCCTTGGCGTTGTCAACATTTTGACAGTGTAAACAGACTTTGGCCTAGCCTTGCCCTGATCTAAGCCAGGAAATCTGGGCTCACCACAACCGGTGGCCTAGACCCGACCTAAGCCTAGGCTTGTGGAAATGTAAACACTTTCGGCCCTGCCCGGGGCCTCATTTTCATGGCAACGTGTGTCCACAGTGGGAGATTAGCGGACAATGTCACAACACATAAAAATACACAAAATTAATAACAAAATTCTTGGCCAAACTGAGCGAGTCTGTCTCAATAAAATGGTGTAATGGTGTAAACGTGCCACATTTACCTTGGCCTGGGCAAGGTAGGTCAAGGCTTGTAGTGTAAACACTACTAATTTTACTCTGTCTAACCCGGCCAGTAACCCTAGGTGATTTTACTAGCTCAATGACTTGAAAGACCTTGGAAATCCAGGGGAAAGGTGATTAAAAGAACAGAATACACAATTAAATACTTAAATTCAATCCATGTACATGCTAATCAGAAATTTGCACTGAACTGATAATCTATTATTAATTAATTATCTATGATGGGTCAACAGTTTTCTGATTCAGATAGATAACAATGTGATTTCCTCAAGTTTAATTAATACTCTCAAATAATTTTCATGTTTTGGCTTAAATAGGCTTTTAGCAAAACATCTTTATATTCATATTCACATTTCAAGTATTGTTTCAAATAATATACTGTGTGGGTTCAAGGATGCATTCTCGAGTTTTGTCAAGCAAGTGCAACCCAGTATTTAGTATAATGTGCTTATCCAAAATTTGGATTGTTGGTTTTAACTAATATATGTTGACATTGAAATGAAATAATTTCAATTGAAATGAAATAATTTCAATTAAAAGCTCGCGCGTGGAAATTCAAATTTTAGCAGCCACAACAGGCTAGTACAGCCACAAGATAAAATGAAATAATAGGGTCGATGGACGTTATAATTATATGATTTAAAGAGTATTAGTATAATTACATAGGTGATTATTGAAAATTCTCCACGCTGATTGGTTGCCGTTGAGGTGATTATTACGCGATAATCACCTAAGCGATTTTCAAAATGGCGGCCGAAGCCTTTTTGTCAATTAAATGACGAAGAAATTGTGTATTTTCTTATTTTTTTCCAAATAATCACCTATGAAATTATACTAAAACAATTATTCACCTCAGGCTCGGTGATTATCGTGAATAAAAACCTCGACTTCGTCTCGGTTTTTATTCACCGATAATCACCTCGCCTTCGTCGAATAATTCTTAAATAATACATACCTGAGCTCAATAAGCCTTTGGCAAGACTTAAAGTCACTTATCCAATGCGAAATATAACGAAATATATATAGCTTCTCTTGAGCGAAATATATTCAAACGAAAAAGTCGAAAATTTGCAAATCACACTTGACATTTGATACGCGATATCCCACAACTTCTTGCGCGCATGGACGTTGTCGTCCAAAATAGATACACCAAAAAGCACTCTCCAGCTTTACTATGCGATTTTAAAATAATATTAAAACTTCATTTCAAAATTTTTCTCTGATTATAAGAATATTATTCTAGGTTGGAAAAATGTTATTCTTAAAATAAGAAAAATATTTTTCGAATATTTCCAATTCATTCCAATTCTCAAAACAAGATTTTTAGTTTTCTTGAGTATTGCTTGATAAGAAATAATTAATAACAAGAAAGATAATCTAAAAAATAAGAACATTATGCTAGACTAGAATTTGATGTTTTGCAGTGCATGTATGATTTTATGTAAAATTTCACTTTTTACTTCATGTGAAATCCTTTTACATATGAAATCTCACTTGCATAACTTCATATAAGATCCTTCATATAAGGGAGTGGATATTATTTATGGGGAGGGGGGGGGGGTGTGTCGGTAAATGGGGAAAAGAGGGATTGAAATCTTTTTGACCCCCTCCAGACTGAAGGTAAACTTTTTGTGCCCCCTCCCCCCTCATAAAAGTAGAACATTTTCTGACCGGGCACACGACGTTGTTTCAACGTTGAAATTTGGTAGAAAAAAGGTTGCGACGTCGACAACCTAATATCTACGTTGCTCTGACGTTGTTTTACAAACATTGGTTCAACAGCAGCCAACAGACGTTGAATTAACGTTCATTCATGATTAAATGTATGACGTCGATTTGTGAACCAATCTCAACGTTGTTTCAAAGTGGATTCAACGTTGAATTATGGTTGACGAGATTGGCAACCTAATTTCAACGTTGTTTCAACGTCGAAACAGTAACGTCGATTCAATTTGCATAGTCAACCCTTTTTCAACGTCTATCCAACGTCTGGAAGGTCATTTCCAACGTTGATTCAACGTTGGATAAACGTCATTTTGCCCGCTGGGGTGTTGCAGGTAAAGTTAGATATTAGGGCAATCGTTTTAATCTAACTCATGTTGTTTTACCCTGGTAAATTTGATTCAACCATATATGATTAAAAAATATATATTATGTGTTACTACGTTGCAATGCAACATTTGTCCTACCATAACCCTAACCCGGCCATGCCCCGTCTTCATACAGCGAAATGATTTGAACACAGGGATATTTTAGAACTTGTCTTGGGGGTACTTTGGGCATCTACAAAAAGGGACCATACTATACTGAGCGTGGAGAGATGACAGATGGCTGTTGGTGACAAAACGTTTGGTGTGGTATCGTATGTACTAGTAGGGGGGTCTGGGGGTATTCTCCCCCAGAAAACTTTTTTTGCATTTTTTACACCCCTAGCTAGGACTGAAATGTGAGCATTTTCTGAAACAGATTTTTGGGTATACAGCGTTATATTGTGCTTTGATGGACCTAATCTTGTATTGTGTACTTACATGTTATGTTTATGTAAATACCACAACTGGGTCACTCACCGGTACGTGGGAAGATTGTTAAACTTAGTGGGCCCGACTCGCACGAGGCGCTACCATGGTTGGCGCCGAGCAGGGAAATTTTGAAAATTTTGAATCTTTAGATTGTTGGAAATAGCATTTTCAGGGTCTTCTTTTTGCTGTTTGTGATTATAGAAATCAGAACTCTAGACATGGTATTTAAGTTCAAAAACTTTTCTAACCCCCCTTTCTCGGCATTAAAACTTTTTTGACCCTCCCTATTTATAAGGGTAAAACTTCGTTTGCCCCCCTCCCATTTACCAATTCCCCTCCTCATGAATAATGACCACCCCCTAACATGTAAAATTTCACTTTTTAGCGTTCATGTGAAATTTCATATCACATATGAAATTTCACAAATCACATATGAAATTTCGCCTGTAGCTTTATGTGAATTCCTCTCACATATGAAATTTCACTTTTTACTTCATGTGAAATCTTTCACATGTGAAATTTGACTTTTTTACTTCATATACAATCCTTACCCATGTGAAATTTCACTTGTAATTTTTAATTTCACGTGATAAAATCCTTTCACATGTGAAATTTCACTTGTAATCTCATGTAGAATCCTTTCACATGTGAAATTTCATTTTAATTTATAATTTCATGTGAAATCTTTTATCCTTACGACCTTATTCTTTCACATGTGTTATTTCACTTATAATTTCATGTGAAATCGTTTCAGATGTGAAATTTCACTTGTAATTTGTAATTTCATGTGAAATCCTTTCACATGTGAAATTTCACATCTAATTTATTATTCGATGTGTTCACATCGAAAGAAATTTCATATAAAATCCTTTCACATGTGAAATGTCACATGTGATTTCATGTGAAATCCTTACACATTTGAAATGTCACATGTGATTTCATGTGAAATCCTTTTATTTGTGAAATTTCACATGTGATTTAATGTGAAATTTTTTCACATGTTAAAGTTCACATAAGATCACATAATGTCACATGTTTTCACATGATTTCACATAAAATAAAACGTCTTGGATAAGCAGTCGATATGTATACGTCACAAGTAGGGTAAAAAGCGAAATTTTTATCTTGGAAACCACATGCCATTGTCAATATGAAACTCGATACTCCGAAGTCGTTTTTAGTACTCAATTGACACACAACATTTCAAGAAACTTTTCGAAGAAATTTAGTCCCACATGAAGAAGTTTACACTGTTTGTTTACTAGCTTTAGCAAGTTTATGTTGCTGGTTGGTTTCTGTGACCGGACAAATTGCCACTTCTTTATAAAAATATACGGATTTTGTAGGATCTTCCTATTTTCTGGTCTGAAAAGTCAACATTCTTAATATAGCAAGGCTGTTTGCGTACAAAAATGGAAAGTTGAAAACAGAAAAATGCATGGATCATTCGAAATTGCTTGATGAACTTTCAAAGTTCGAGAAAGTTCCCAAGGGCTACAATCCTTGAACATTTTTGTGTTAAAATTAGCTTTTCAAGCATAATTTTTTAAACTTTTTAAAAGATCGAAATCAACCATGCATAAAATTTATCATAGCAACCTGGGAATAAAATTTTTATAGGAATTTTCACGGTTCAAGAAGTATTAATGTAGGATCGCACGCGTGCTTGGCGAAGTATTAGAGACCTTACGATTTTAGGACGCCAACGCGACGACGACAGCCAAAACAAAACTCTTTCAAACTAATGGTACTAAAGATAATTCGTCGTATATCATCAATCGTATAAATTTAATACAGGCTTATAAGTCGAAGAAGTTTTTTTAAAATAAAACAAATTTAAGTTAATTTGTATTGCCATATCGCTTTATTTAACGGACATATAACCAAAGTTGCATGGTTGGTTTCTGTTACCGGACAAATTGGGAAGAGTTCTGCTGGACCAAGTTTGAAGTTGCATTTGTTGCGTCTTGAAATGCAGCCGTTGTATTGAGATATGAAAATCCGTAATTTGGAGCAGTAAACAAAGCAAAGGACAAGACTAAATTATTCATATATTGTAATTATTTAATTTTTTTCAATTGTTTATTGTATTGGTAGCCGTTGCCGTCGAGTTGCCGTCCTAAATCGCATAGATATAGGTCTCTATTTATAATAGCGCGAGTGCGCACAGTAGCACGAACGATATTATAAATATTTCGCCAAACACAAGTGTTATTTTTCAATAATACTGTACTTTGAGAACAAGTGTGATTTCCTATTAATATCATTCTACAGTCAATTTTACACGAGCTATCAATTATATTTATATTGTAGTCAAGACAATCACAGATCTTTGCAATGTTTCATTCATACACCTTTGCATTTGTTTCTTTTCGTTTGCATTCATATTATTCTGACAGTGCAATAGACCAACGAAAAATTCGTTGGCTCGAGCGCGATTTGAACTGGCATCTTCGGGTATCTAGACCGCCGCTATACCCATTGAGCTATCGACTCAACGGGGATTGGTAGGGAGTCTTATCCAATTTAAGTGCACGAAATATTTTTGTGACGACTTAACGCTTGTCTTACAATTTTTCGTTCGTCTATACATTGCAGTATCAGAATAATATGAAACTGGTTTTTCGTATCTCTGAGGATGGTCCTCAGTCAATCACAGCCTTACGCGCCTTTTGTCAATTTGAGAGTAATTTGTGACATTAATTTTCAATTCATATCTGTGAAAAACTGTGAATAATCTTTACTTCTTCTTTATCCTTAATATTTAAACATACTTAAAGAGCTCATTGCAAAATAAGAGCTCAGAAAATATAAATTTTCAAGTTGTTCATTTTGAGATTTTGTGTTTAATGCACGTTGGCAGCTGGTATCCGTGTCAATTAATTTTTAATCTGCATACCTGTGCGAGTAATGTTTAATCTGCAAGGTTTTTAACCAATCAGGATCAAGTGTTTACGTAGTGAGGACTTTTATAAATTAAGCTTTAAATAAAACTATATTAATAATATCTTCGAGGACTGTGCCGAGAACACTCATTTTATTAAATCTAATAAAACATCAACTTTAAACACGTCTCACTAAATCGGATTTTGGCTTGTGGTTGTAACGGATAATAACGTTATGCATGATCCGATCTAACACGATATGAAATGTAGGACGATACTCCAGAACCCAACATTACATTTATCGATATTGTTCTGTTTTTTTTTACAATAGGTTGGGCCGCCTCTGAAGTATTTTGCAACGCAGAAAAGTTTGTCGCTTGGGAGAGGTAGTATGGGTACATCTGTTTATGTCGGCATATTGGAAGACGGTAGTGAAGTAGCTGTTAAGAAGATGTTGATAGAAACATGCGAAGATGCAGCTGAAAACGAGAAAGAGATTTTGAGCCTGATCGAAGCGAAAAAATCGCCATACATTGTGAGCTATCGACTTCTTCTAAAGGACAGCATATTCTTTTACCTTATTGCTGATCTCTGTGAAAACACATTGAACGATCATGTCAGTTCTCAGAGTATTGAGAATCTAAAAGAAGATGGACCTAGGATGGTCAAAGAAATTTTAACTGGTCTAACATTCCTTCATGATCAAAGAATTTTGCATCGAGATCTTAAACCATCAAATATCCTAGTTGATGTCGAATGCCACATGAGATTGGCAGATTTTGGAATAAGTCGTGTTTTAAATGAAGATGAAACCACACTTTATACTGATGCGAAGGGTACCCAAGGCTGGATGTCCACAGAAGTTCTCGAGGCAATAGATCGGGCGTGTAAATGTCGTTACAAAAAGAAATCTGATGTTCAAGTGACAGGTATGATCACTTTCTTCATACTAACGAAAGGTGAACATCCTTTTGGTGCTTCACATCAACGTATGACGAATATTAAGGAAGGAAATCCGATGAATTTGGAACATCTTGTCGATCTTTGTGCTCGAAAATTTGTCTTGTCGTTAATCAGCCATGATATCAAAGATAGGCCCTATGCTCACGAGGCATTGAGGCATTCGTTTATGGACAAAATAAAACTTCGTGATGCAATTTCTATGCCAAGAATAATATCTTGGGATAGCTGGTTGAAATTGAAAGAATGTTCGTGAATTTACAGACCAACACTTGCACTTAGAGAATATAATACTTAATTGATATAATATCGAAACAATATGCTGTAACCGGATTTTAGGGTTTGTAATCCAAGTGAGAATATATACATTTTAAGACCTAACCAGGAACGACTGCGAAAAATGCAGCAAGGTTCTCTGGTAGGAATTGAACCTACGGCCCTGCTATTCCGGTGCAGCACTCTAACCAAATGAGTTACAGAGGTCAGCTGTTGAGCTGTAAGCGTAAGTTCATGTATATATAGGTAATCGGGTGTGCGGGTTGTGATAAGGTGGACAACCCGCACACCCGATTACCTATATATATATATATATATATATATATATATCAAAAAACCACAAAAAACCACAACAGTCTGTTTCATCCGTATAGATGATTCCAATACGGATGAAACAGACTGTTGTGGATTTTTGAGAAAAAATGAAAAACTATATTACGCTCTATCTATATGGTATTGAGCACTGTTTGTGTTTCGTAAACCAAAATCTTAAGCTATATATATATATATATATATATATATACATATATATATATACATATATATATATATATATATATATATATATATATATATATATATATATATATATATATATATATATATATACATATATATATATATGTATATATGAACTTACGGTTACAGCTCAACAGCAGGCCTCTGTAGTTCAGTTGGTTAGAGCGCTGCACCGGAAACGCAGGGCCATAGGTTCAATACCTACCAGAGGACCTTGTGCTGCATTTTTCGCAGTCCTGGTTAGGTCTTAAAATGCATATATTCTCACTGGGATTACAAACCCTAACATCCTAATATTAATTCCACCAAGTGAAGTGCTATAATCTAAGTTATACTGTAACCGATAAGTTATTTCATTCGTAACAAAGGGTTAAAATTGCATGGGTTTGGCAAAATGTATACGCAAGTCAAACTGTTGCAAATCTTGTGACTAAATTTGTATGTGTTCATTTATTAAGTTTGGAACCCTCCAGATTTGCCACGAATTTGCATTTTAAACTAAGTTTGCAGGCCAACTTGTTGCAAACTTAGTACCAAATTCGATTTGAGTTCGCACTGAAAGTCGACTTCTTTCTACCAATTTGTACTAATGTATACACGCAAGCACGTCGTGTAGAACATTCTACTGCACTTAATGTACGGTAACAGATTGCAATAACTAAATGTTTTCCCAAATTTTGGTCATGGCTTTGCAGATATAATTTTGATTGCTAAGTTATGCAGGTACAAATGTATACCATTTTTGTTAATTTGCATACCCACATGCACCCAAAAGTGAAATATAGCTACTGCTTTGCCCGTGTGCAAACTCATTAGAAGATTGCTAAAATATATAGACTCAAACGATCTGTTCTAGCGTAAGCTGGGGGTAATATAGACATTTTTAGAACATTCGACGTACGCGACGTCTCTAACACGGCGTAAAAATAGTGTGGCAAGAATAATTGTAGTTTCGGTTGGAATTGCGACATCTTTGTTGATTTTAGGACCTGAAATTTTCACGTCCGCTATAGAACGCCACAAAGATTTATGCTTCTTTCAAAAATATGATAGCATACTTCATAAACATAATCATATTTTTCGTTCCCCTTGTATTGTTTCATGATTCTAGTTTCGTATTTTTTTATTGACAATTTATTTTTTCTTGCATTTCGCAAACTTTTTGACGTGTTCATTTTCGACAAATACTTTCGTCGCCGTTACAAATAAAAAACCCCTGAAAGTATTGCTAACACTACTTCAGTACCGGTAGTATTCTTCACGAAAACGAACTTTTTAGATTAAATTAAAGTATGGTTAATAATAAGTGTAGTTAAAAGCTGGAAATTTGAAGATTTGGAATGATAGATTAACTAAAGCAGTTAGAACAGTAAAATTTCCATCAATTGTAGTTCCAATGTCACAAATGTGCAAAATAGTAGTTCAAGATCTATTCCGCGTGAAAAACTATCGTAAACAGTATAACATTTTACAAATGAAAACAATGATGCAGTATTTATATACTGAAAAGCCGAAAACCTGAATGAATCTGGTACAAACTAGAGCATTTAACTCGTAAGCACTACATTCAGTTTTTGTACTTATTCCGAATGATGCGAAAAAGTTTACTTTGTCAAGATACCGAAATATATGCAAATTGATCAGGAAATACTTGGCCAGTATGATATATATATTTTTTTTGAACGTATATTGACAACTGATTGAAAGCAATACGGCAATAAGCAGGCGAGAACGATAAAAAATTGCTTCGAAAGAGACAAACATGATGTCCCAGATCAAACCGGAAGTAAACGTGAGGTGCATACGTAACTTTTACGTCGTTGTAGATGTCGCTTCGTGCTTTAAAACCTGTGCAATGTAACACAAGAATGCTGCATATTGAGAGAGTTTCAGCTATGTTGAAAGAGTGACACTTGGAATTACAATGGCAGAAAACAACGTTTAATTTAATTTGTGTATAATCCGAAGTTCGTCTTGGCAATTAAAATCACTTGTTATACAAATTTTTCGTAAAGTAAGTAAATCTATTAGTGAAAGAGTTACATTTGGTGTATGAAATTCAGTAAGTGCGAATGAACGTTTCATGAAATTTTGATTAATGGACTTTTCATACTTCACTCTACTTCCAACGACCAATGAAATAACTTCTGTCTCGGCTTGTCCCAGGGGGTAGGCAACGTCAGGCAGCCGAGAAGTCCTAGGAACCAGGAAGGTTCACTCCCCATTGCAACCTCATACACCGTGTCTTTCCTCTTGGGGAGAAAATCTGCTACTACCAAACAGATTTCTAATTCACTATCTCGGATTCCTTTACGACAATCAAACGAAATCCGAATTATAAATTAAACTATTAAAATCATACAAATATCAAACATTTATTGACCTCATTTGGGATTGCTAATTAAAAATCTGCTAGATTTTAGCAGAGAACGTGCCCAGTGTCTCCCCTCGCCAAGAGCAAAGACCCTGAGTACGAGGTTGTCCCCATTGGGGCTTTTCAGTGACCACATAAAGTATTGGGCTTACTTATGCGGTTACGTAGTCAGCCTGGACTATTTATCTTTACATGTACAACAATTGTTATTACTTTCTTCGATTAGGTGGTCGGCAAATATTCCCTTGATGGTGCAAAATACATTAAAACAAAAGGCAAATCCAATATTTTCAGTTCACGAACATGTCCCCACTTCTCAGTAAAAACGAATGCATAGTCAGCATTTTAGCTGCATGCAGCTGAGGTGTCCAGGTTTGGCTTGTCCTAGGGCTTATGGCCACGTCTGGCAGCCAAAAAGCCCTTGGAACGAAGATGGCAGTGAATTGAATTATTTGAATAACAACATAACAATGCAAATATTACGCATATCCCCACGACCATGGTCAATGTTATTTGCCTCAGCCTTCGGTAGATAATATTGATCTCTGCACCATGAATAATTCTGGATATCCTCCTCATCCTCATCCAATAATTGCTAATTATTCGAAATAAATATGTGATGAATTTAATTCCCTTTCAAGTATGTTGCAAATTTCGAAAGAATTTGGACATTATTCAAGCGAGTGTGCAAAATTGAAGTAAATGAAGTGGTTGCAAATCTAAAATAATACTCCGTACGCAAACGTGGATAGAATTTTTAGCAATCAATTTAACTTACACCTTACTGTAGTTCCTCGCACAGAAACCACTGAGTATTTACGTCAATGTTGGCGTAGAGTTCAACAATATACGCAAGAATGTGAAAAATATCACTTTTAGTTCTTCAAACCCGAGATAAATAGTTGAATGTCAAATTGTGTATGTAATACTGCTTTAATCAATACGTTGCAATAAACTCCTACTCATTTGCCCTATTACATTTTTCTTAACTAAAACTAATTGGGTAGCTCATTCATTTACTTCGATTGGTCCCTTTAGTGCTGAATATCAATCTGATTTGTTTAGAAATAATGCGATTAAAACTTAAAAAGAGAAAATTGACGCTCAAGATGGGGCGATTCATTAAATGAATATAACCGGAATGGTACCTTTAGATAAACCGCATATGTTTATTCTTGAAATCAAATCTGACCCCCAGACACGTGTATCAGCTGGAGGTCAAGACTCGCTAGTCTATAGCATGACTGTGATTCAGCGCTCTTCGCGTGCGTGAAAAGACTGGGACTGGCTTTCAAGTTGGGTTTCAATGTCCAATTGGAGGTGGCGTTCAAATTGTTTTCATTTGAATGTATGCGATTTTTCATGGGTGTAACATGGGTGCGGAAACCATACGTGCTTTTATACTGGTAATTATAAACCAATCAGATGGATTTGCCAAAGTGTGAAAACGGATATCATTAAATACTAACGGTATTTCTAATAATTTACGCCAATCAAAAATAAATTATTTCCAGAAATTAATGCGCATGCTTTCTTTCCTTCAAGCAGTTTTCTCGCCATCCACCATGGTTGCATCACCGGGGTTGATCACTATTCTTAATTCTTCATCATCCACTTGTGTCACATTGATATACGATTTCTAAATTTAATGAAAAGTTCTTGTTGATCTAAAGTCGAACGCGTGATCACGCAGCCGCACAACAACGTTGCGTGACGGCAATTTGTTGTCCTGTGTTTATTTGAACCCAAAATACTACCATCCTTCGTTGCAAGTCAACGTCGTTGCACATTTAATTTGAAAATTAGACTATTCTTTTGAAAATCGCTTTTAAAGGGCCTGTAAATCCTATTTTCAGATTCGTAGATTTATTTTCTTATCGAATATATATATAAATATATATAAATATATATATATATATATATATATATATATATATATATATATATATATATATATATATATATATATATATATATA